TGAACACCATAATGTGCGGATTGGAAAAGGCTAGACGCATTTGAGGTGAAATGTTAAAAAAAAAATCAAAAATGAAGGCATAAAAAGTAGCACCAGAAGGCAACAAATGATCAACTATGTTTGTGAAAAAAATTAAATCTTTTTGGGCATGGTGGCAGAATGAAAGACACAGATAGGTAATTGGTGATGACAGTCTCCATTAAAAGTGAAAGATCAATTGGATGACCGTCAAGGAGATGGATGGATAATGTAAGAGAATATTGTGAAGCAAAAGCAGATCAAGAAGGGATTCATATGGTGCGAGATACAAAAAGGCCTTTCAACAACATTTTCCGAGAACAAGAACTGGCATCAACGGTTTCTTGAGGACTATAGAGGAAACTTGGAAAGAGAGAGAGAGAAAGAGAGATTTATTTCAAGCAGTAATTGGGCAAGCAGAGTGTGCTTCGTTTGCCTATTTGTAGCGCTATAAAAAATTCAAATTTATTATAATTATCATTTTTTTTAATTCTTTAGAATGCAGCTCTATCAAACGCCGAGCTACTCACATGTTTTTCTCAACTTATAACTAAACCTTCGTGCCACAAAGGCTGTACTATCCACACCACATGACGCACTTACATATTTTGTATGCCCGCGTTTGATGGTCTTTATGTTATTTTTTTGTTTATTTTTGTTTTTGACAAACATTATTCAAACCATGCCATCGCGTAATAGCAGCGCAAGACATGGCACTTCTGACTGCTGACTAGCTTTTATTTATTTTATTGTTATAGTTATCATAAACTTCTGATTTTAATTTTAGAACTCATTTTGAAATACAATTTGCTAAATATTTTTTCAGCATGTTGATGTAATAAAGGCAGTTAATGCTGGTAACAGCGTTTGTAACTCACCAATTAAACCTTCACCTGTTCTAAGAGTTTTCATTGAAAACAAAATATATCCAGTTACTTTAAATGCTTTGAAACAGGTTTGTTACCTCTTCATTTTTGTTATATGAAAAAAATGAGTATTTATTTGTTTGTTAGAACTTTTTATTTTTAAATTTTTTTTATTTTATTTTACGTCAAACAAATTTAATAACAATTTTTATTTTGTTTTAGTCTAATTTTTAAAGCTTAAATAAATTTTGAAACAGATTTTTTCTGCTCATGGAGATGTCCTAAAAATAGTGACGTTTACTAAAAATTGTATGTTTTATTTTCAGTTCACTTTTTTAAATTAAATTCGTTTAATTAACAAATAAAGAGGTAGACGATAACCGTGCTGAAATCAAATCAACAAAAAATATAATTCAGCTGGCATGTTGTAAATAAACTTAATTTACATAAAGTAGATTAAAATTTTAAATTGAACTATTAAAAATTAGTAGGACATGTTTATGCTTAACTTGCCTACTCATGCTTTGCTGCAATATCAGAAAATAGATAATTCAAGAAAACCCATGATCAAAAATAATTGTATTGCGTTGATGAGTGTAAAAAAAACAAAATAAAATGAAACATAGGGAGCGATACTGCAGATGCCTCGGAGTACTTGGTAACGAGAATTCTCAGATACTGGTTGACTTTTTTCATTTCCAAGACCAATATATCTTTGCTAAGTTCTATATATTTCAAGTTCTCGCTCCAGATCGACACCGAAATCCTACGTAGTCATCTCATATATAAATTTTCTTGTCCTCTTGACGACTGTGCGCGTCTTCAAACTTCCTATGTAGAGATGACTACTACAACACTATCGCGTAGACTCACTAGGCACAAAAGAGACGGTGTAATAAAAAACCATCTAGAAACTTTCCACAACACCCCATTAACTAGGAACCTTCTAGATAACAACACAAAAATTTAACACAACAATCAACGGCACTACAGCCTAAGAATCGCAGAAGCCATTTTCATTGAATCTGAAAAACCTTCCATCAACTACGAATCACAACAACACTTCCAACTCGAAGAATGAACAACAATAACGTTAATCAGATCAACCAGCAATCTAACAATGATGATAATAACAATAATGATAATAACAACAACACCATTAACAACATTAGCAATAATAATAATAATAATAATAATAATAATAATAATAATAATTAAAACTCTTTTATTACAGAAAATCAGTGACATAAAATATAAAGTAGAATAAAATATGGTCATTGTCTAATAATTAAATGCACACTAAAACCCTATTACTCATTATCTATGATAAGTGTAGTTAGGTGACATATTTAAACGGTTATATAATTTTTCTGTCGCAATAGATGGCGTATGTTGATTTAATTGCAGAATCAATTAATTTGTCAATAAAAGAACATGCCATAAAATATTAATTAATTGTAAATTGAAAGTATTAAAGAAGCCAATTGAAGTAATTTCAAACATATTTAAACTAATCGTACAGTTTTTGAAATCGGGGATTAAACTTGAATTTAAATTGTTTCTGTACTTCGATTGTTTGAAGCTTATAGGTATGATTAAATTTGTCTCGTGACATACCGTCAACTCCACGATCTCAATTCTTCTGTTTTGTTGAATGGCGATTTCTGGACGAAGATTGACAAACAGTTTCGACATTGGCAGGACTCCCTCCTTTTCGATATTTGCAAATATCAGACAATTCGTCATGCGGCACGACAGCAAACAATTAACGATCTCTGACAATATCCTGTCATGGCGTTCAGTATAACGTTTCAAAGCAACTGTGGATCCACAGTTGGAAACTACATGATTGTTCGTCTGTTTAGCGCCACAGCGGGTCAACGGTCTTTTCCCATTTGAAAAGATTTGCGTTAGTCGGCAGTTGCTGAATCAAATGTTTTCTCGCGAATTTGTTCAGGGAATTTCTTTGACCAGTGTTTTATTCGCGAAGGTAGTATTACCTCAGTTACCGACTTGATCAAGGAGCCCTGACTTTGAAGCAAGACGACGTGATTCGGTCTTTTTCCAACTTTTTTAGTGTCTGAGAAGTTGAGTTTGAGGCCGAAAGAAAATTGTCGATCATCATCGAACCGCAGCTTCAGCTGTTCCAGTACAATTCAGAACATTCCCTAGATATTGAAACGATATGACTTTCTCTACCTTAATGGCTTCAAAAACAGTGCTATTTCGAATTTGTTGTTGTGGATTGATGCAAGCAGGACAAACAAAATTGGACACTTTAGATAAAGTACAAATTATTGCCTTTCCATCCTTCATAGCTTTCAGAGCTTCTGTAAGCTCCTCTACAGTGATGTCTGGAATCGGACCTTCGATGGATGGAGCGTCAAAGTTGACATTGATGGGATTTGTTTCATTTAACAGACGGTTGAAGTATATTCTCCACTGTAGCTTGATCTCATCTTGTCCAAGAACCATCTCATTTTTGTCGTTTTTGAGAAATAAGGGGCCAACTATGTCTTTTTTCGTATGCTTTGCTTGTTTTGCTCTACGATACGGAGATTTCATTTGTTCACCTTTGCTTTTAGTGAGCCACTTTCTGCACTAATCTGTCCGAGCCAGTGCGACTTGACGTCTTGCATAGTTTTTCTTCCACGGAAAATTTTATGGTCATCAATAGACTTTGATTTTTGCCATTGCTTGTATGTAGCTTTCTTTTCAGCTATTGCATTTTATACACTGTCATTCCACCACTAAGTGTCCCGTTCATGCTGGTGTTTTGTACTAGTTTTCCCACAAACTGTAGTTGCAGCGTTTATCAAAACGGTTTTGTATGTACTCCAATTTTTACTGGATTGCGATTGGTGGTCTAACCGTGTGGCGGCATTCTGTTGAAATTTTTCTCGATGAATATTGCTTTTCAGCTTCCACGTTTTATTCTCCGAGGCGTTTGTTTAGACTTACTTTGTGACAGTTCGACAACCAGGTCTGCCACAAGAAGTCTATGTTGGACGACACATGATTCGTCAGGTATAACTTTGACATTTTTGAATAGCCTTCGGTGTTGTTGCTTGACAGCGAAGAAATCAATTTGCGTGGCTGATGGTCCAGTTTTGTATGTTATGAGATGTTCCAACCTCTTTCTAAAATATATGTTCAGTTAACAAAACCCGTGACTTTCAGCTAACTCAAGGATGCGGTTGCCATCTTCATTCCGTTCTCCATAGCCAAAACCGCCATGTACGTTGTCAAAACCATTTGTTTTCTCTCCAACGTGGCCATTGAGATCGCCTCCAATCGGGGTTTTTTTCAGATTTTGATATTGTTGAGATGGTGTCAGAGAACGCAGCCCAGAAGTCATTTTTCATCTCTTCTGATTCGCCTGTCTGTTTTTTAAAAAACAGTGGTAATAACAGTGGTTCTCAAAACATCAAAAATACGTTTAAACGTTAATGAAATGTTAAACAGCATATATAAATATTCAGGGATGGTCAATTTACCATCCTCTTTAATTACTCTGAAGCATATATTATCAGAGCCAACAGACTTATTATTACCCAGCATATCGTTTTTCTTCATTACATCATTTTTATTCACTTTCAACTTGTCCATTTTATTAAACTAGATGAATCGGCGCACTCTAAGGGTAAAAATGATAACGACTTGTGTACAGAAAGATGTTCACAATAAAATATGTAATTATCTTTGTCTGCATTACATAAGTCTAAATTAATGTACTAATTTTAAATTTTTCAGCTATATGGCAAGCTCTTGTCGAGATGGAAAATAGTGTTTCAGCTATGACTGCTAAAAATGTAAGTATATTTCAAATTAAAATTTTAGTTGATTACAAATTATATGTATTTTTGTTGGGATAACGTCTTTTATGTTTTTCAAGGATTATGTAATAACCGTCATATATTTTGCTACCGCTACCGCTACAATGATGTGTTTTATTAACATTTACCAAAGTTTTTTCTGTTTTTAAATATTGGAGGTTTCTTAAAACATCATCTTTTTTAAATTTCTTTTTTATTGTTATTGTTATTATTATTATAGTTCCATTCAGTCGGCATTGAGCAATTTTTGAACTGAATGGAACTATAGCATGACAGTCCCGCTATACAAAGGCAAAGGTGATCCATTGAACTGTTCATCATATCGGGGTATACGTCTGTTAGAACACTCCCTGAAAATTGTCGAAAAAATCATTGAGAGAAGATTAACGTCGTGCATCACAATCGGAACTTATCAATTTGGTTTTTTAGCGGGGAAATCAACAATTGATGCAATTCACATCCTTCGGCAACTGCAAAAGAAGTACCTCGCAAAGCATCAACAACTATCACATATTTTTGTAGACCTTGAAAAAGCATTTGATCGAGTTCCCCGTGAAGCAATCAGGTGGAGTCTACGTCGACAACTCATTCCAGAATATCTTGTTCGACTTGTATTCGGAAATGTATACTAAGACTCTTGTCAGCACAACGGTTGGAAACACAGTTGCATTTGACATCGGCGTTGGAGTTCACCAAGGCTCGATTCTCAGTCCACTTTTATTTATAACTGTGATGGAAGAAATCACAAAACCGATACGCACTGATGACATTTGGAATCTAATATATGCTGTTGATATCGTTTTAACAGCCACGTCTAAGCAGAATGCAGCACAGATGTTTGAAGATTGGAACATTAGACTCGCCGATCATGGATTCAAAGTCAACATCAGCAGAACTAAAGCAATGAACACTGGTGAACCCATCCAATCCACAGCTACTGGACGATGGCCCTGTTCAGTTTGTAAAGCTGGTGTAGGTAACAATTCAATCAAGTGTCAGCAATGTAACCAGTGGTGTCACAAACGTTGTTCAAAAATAGTTGGTACTTTATCTAAAGTGTCCAATTTTGTTTGTCCTGCTTGCATCAATCCACAACAACAAATTCGAAATAGCAATGTTTTTGAAGCCATTAAAATAGAGAAAGTCATATCGTTTCAATATCTAGGGGATGTTCTGGATTGTACTGGAACAGCTGAAGTTGCCGTTCGAGCACGCATACGTGCAGCCTGGAATAAATGGCATCTCCTTGCCTCTATATTAATGCGGCGTGACATCCCACTACGATCAAGATTTTATAAATCTGTGATACTTCAGGTGTTGTTATATGGTGCAGAAACATGGCCAATGACAACCAAACTGGAACAACAACTTCAACGAACCGAAATGAAAATGCTCCGATGGATGCAACGAATTAGTCTGAAGGACCACATCAAATCTACCGAAATCCTGCGTCGTGCTGGTTTAGATGATATAAAGGACGAATGCCGGCAACACCGTCTGCGGTGGTTTGGTCATGTCAAACGAAGTAGAAACAGTGCCATAACTTCTCTTGCAGATGTTGAAGTACCTGGCACACGTCCCAAAGGCCGTCCAAAGAAGTCCTGGTCTCAAACAAACGAGCAAGACATGAAAGCTCTAAATTTAAATGAAATGGATACAACTGATCGTCTAATTTGGCGCAAAAAGTTGATGGCAAAGAAAACAACGTCCTACATCGGGGAACCGAGACTCTGGACGCAAAACGAAGATTGATTGATTGATTGATTATTATTATTATGTCAAGATTATATAATTCTTAAATATGTCCTTCTGAACGCTTTTCCACAAAACTGCTTTAGTTTTTTACAGATGTTTCTTTTAAATGTAATTTCGTTTCTAATGGGACATAAGCTTCATTATATTTTCAGTTTATTTCTGAACAAAATGACTGGAGGAGCCAAACACAATTTAAACGGCAAGAAATATGTAATTTTTTTTAATTACCTTAGAAAATTATTCCGCTTTGGACCGAACACTGAAACAGTTGCTGATTTCACTCGGGCCACAGCATCTGAGAATCACTGTTAGCTATTTAGCAAGATCTTTTTACAGATGATGCTGCCTTGTATTATATATTTTGTATTGTGGAGAATATCACCGATACATCTTATCATTACCTAAACTTTGAGAGTGTATCTATTCTCGACTAGGAAGCTGCCTGTGCGGTATTATTGTTACACAGTTTGATGTCTTCTGAACACAAATACGGCTAATGGTGCGCCATGAATCGAAATGTTTTTTCATAAGGAAACATAATACTATTTTGTGAAACGCACAAACGAACGTATTATTATTGTTATTTTTAATGGTAGTAGTAGTTGTGGTAGTAGTATGTTTTTTCAGTTTATTTCTGAAGGAGCCGAACGCAATTTAAACGGCAAAAAATTTTACATTGTAAGATTGTATTTTACCAAAATATTAAAAGTCCCATCGCTCATCAGTCTTATCTTCGGTACATCTGATTTGTGGTTGGTCTGAAACAAGATATTGAGGAAGTTCTTTTTACCCTTTTGCAAACATCTTACAAAAATAACAGAAATACATTTTCTGAATGCTTCTATGATACATGCAAACTGTGTAATCGGCGCATTTCGTATAACCTGAAATGTTCAAAACCTTATCAGTTTTACCATACAGTATACCATTAAAATAATCCAGTCTTGTTAAAACAAATTTTGCTACCAACGACAGAAACATATTTTTAAGTAGACATTTTTAACTATTAGCCACTTCGTTGAAAGATAACATGTTTTTGCACTTTATAAGGCATAAATGTTGGCTAAATTCATCACCAGCGCAAAAGAGAGAAACACTTTTGCATCTTTTTATATCTGTAAGCGTAATCAAATTTTATATATTGCCATTATGAATTCATTTTAACCCAGTTTCCGATTGTGATTATAAAAATTTCAGAAATGAAAGAACATTGTATAGTTTAATGAAATTTTGAAAATTATATGTTGTTGATGTTTGAAGATAGTGATACAAATTTTTTGACGCTTCGTTACTGGGAGTTCTTGAGTTGTTTGACGATGATTTGAGGTGGGTGTTTGCGGGGCCGGTGACCCTGGTTGTTTGGTCTTTATATCAAACAAGGGTTGGGCGTTTTTCTTTGGTTCTTTATATAAACGCAAAATAAGAGATTGAAATACTTAAATTTAGGTCTATATATCTCTCACAAATAATTTTAATAATAATAATACTAGATTAACATATAAACCAGCATATAAATATATATATATATATATATATATATAATGTTGTAATTTTTAATAATATAATTTTTCCTGAAGCATCTCACTGGAAAAAATGTTTATGATGGATGCTGTACGTTAAAAATTGAATTTTCTCACTTGGATAGCTTGAAAATACGTTACAACAATGATAAAACTTTTGATTTTACTAATCCTGATCTTCCGCAAGGTCCTAGGGATACCACAGAATCATCAAGCGGGTTTTCAGGTATATAATTTTTTGTTTTTGCTACTCATATATATATATATATATATATATATATATATATATATATAATTTGTTGTTATTACTTTTTTGATTGTTATAATTTAGTGTATATATAATTTGTTGTTATTACTTTTTTGATTGTTATATATATATATATATATATATATATATATATATCCAATATATATATATAACGTCATAATGCTATATAATGCTAATAACGTCACTCAACCACGTCGACATTCAACTGCACATTTTCCACCACACAGACGCGCAAAAACCGCTGCAGAATGCACGAAATATTATTCATAGCGAAAAAATACTCCCTACTATCACCTGACCTAATTCTAATATGTTTACAAATCTGATTGAAAAACTTGGAGGTGTTACGGTCCATGGGGCCTAGGACCTCGATACAAATCGGTAAAAACTCCATCGAGGGGAGAGCTCCGTCATACTTCTTGATTTTTTCATCAGATGCCCTGGTTGCAGCCAAACCGCTTTCTTTGCTAGTAAGCTGCACGTAGCGCTCAGCAAAGGTGCATGGAACGGTAACGTCCCACGCCAAGCACCTGCCGGCTCTCCAAGAAATCAAGGTACACCCGTTAGGGCGCTTACCATCATGCGCCGCAATGCCCAAACGACAAACAAGACCATGATGGCCGAGTTCATCCGCCCCCGCGCCGCACCTGCATGTGTATCGACTCTGAACGGCCAACCCCAGACGGAAACCAATGGCTGTCCTGACCGTTTCGTCATCGAATCTGGTACCCACTGACGTATTGGGCCAAGATCTCAGCCAGTCACAACTCGCCTCGCTGGATACTGCCAGCAAGCGAGCTGAGGTCGCCGAGTCAGGGCTTGAGGAAAGCAACTCTTTGAATGTGCGTTTATATTCTTCCTCCAAAATGTTGCCCTGGGAAAGGTCTGTTGGTTGGAATGGAGTTGGTGGAGTACAGTGTAGGCTACTAAATTGCCGAAGAAGGGCAGACTGTAGGTCAAGCGGGGCAGATGCAGAAGATTTATAAACAATTGGTGCAAGCTGAACCACGCTTAGTAACCCCAGTCCCCCAAATCGTATCGGCAGCTGAGCCTGAGACCAACCCTTGTCAGGAATATCGACGTTACAAATGGCTAAGAGGGCCACCCGCAGAGCACCCTCAAATTCGCCAAAAATGGCCGCATTAACAGAGTTGGATGTGCGCAAAAAATACATCAATTTCGGCAAACTGAGGGCCCCGCGGATGATTGTCAGCGCGTCGTGGACCGGGAGAAGAGAGACACGTTCGGGGGCAAACCTTAGCTCAAAAAGTTTTTTATTAAAAACCTGTCCTGATGATCGCCGGCCATCATTGGAGTGCCTAAAAAATTTAATGATGAATGGGGCACTGTGAGGACATTAGCCAGCACATGTGGCATTTGAAACGTGTCATTTACGAGTAGTTCACACTTGTTTGTGTTTAATTCGAGACCAATGATGGAAGCGCCGACCCTCAGCGACAGGAAGTCGTCCGCTAAGATGTTACCCTCTGCGGCCAAGCTAATATCGTCCAGGTAGCCACAAACAAACGCCGAAGATGACTTCGTCAACAGTGGGTGAAGGGTTAGAGCAAAAAGCATCGGTCCCAAAGGATCGCCTTGCTGTACACCCTCGCACGATTCCACCACCCAGGCGTCGTAACCAAGAGAAGAGACTCGGCCATATGCGGAATGACAAAAATTATTAATTTGAGGACAGTGCTGCTTAACTGCCTCTAACATTGAATCTCTTCTCAGGGTGTTGAAAGCGTTCTTGAAATCAATCTTCAAGAATCTCCACTGTTTTGGAAGTGCTGAAATCAGTTCACGTACGGCGTGGACGGCCGCCTCAGCACCACCCTTCACGCCGACGCCCAATTGGATAGGATAGAGTTTGGCTTTGACCTGTTCCAACACTAGCACCAGAGCGCACTTAATGGCCAGCCTCCTCTAGAAATTCTCCACCGCGATGGGTCTGATCCCTCCATCTTTTTTGTTTAAAGCCACCAGACGGCCTCCAAAAAAAACGGCTAGCCGCAGGAGGGCAGACCCCAGATAACAACAAATTTACAAACCGGGTGAGGTTATTTAACAATTCATCGGTGGGCATTGGACCGGAAAGTAAATCCTTTATGTGCTGAGGCTTCAAGCCATCAAGGCCTCCCGATGAACCATTATTAAACGACTTTAAAGCCGTCAACACCTGGGCTGGTGAAACGCGACCGTTAGACGGCTCCTGCGCGGGGAAAGCTCGCCTGTTCAATGGAGTACTGGGATGAATAGCCTTGAGTTTAGCGAGTGTCTCAGGCGAGCTCTCCGTCAGGCCCACGGGCGAACAAGCAAGTCTGACGGCCGCCGAGAGACTGCCCTGTTCGATCCGAGTAGTAACTGCTTTAATCCAACTGTTTGGATTGTGCTTACGCAGTTTGGTGTTGTGGTCAGTGTTGAAGCTTGCCACTATAATCTCCACCTCGGTCGAACTGAATTCGGCCAACCGTTTAATAACGTAATTGGCTTGATTAATCCTGCGACAAGAACCACGTGTGGCAACATGAGGGTTGATGACAGGTGCGGCGGTAAGAGGCGGTCGCGCGGAAGCAGATGAACCAGCCAGAGGCTGCACAACAAAATAACGCCGCCTTGAACGAACCAGGACATTCCTGGCCCTTCACTTTGCCTCCATGTCGATATAGCTTACCGTCCGGTTTTATTTTATAATGATTTAAACAAACCGTGCATTGGTATAGGACCGGTGCCATTACGTCAACGAAATAAAATCAAAAGGGAGTAGATAAAACCGTGTAAACAGTGATAAAAATAAATAAAATTGTGGTGAAAAAAAATTAAATTAAATTAATTTTAAAAGTAAAAGAAAAACTAGAAATGAGACAGAAAAAACAAAAATTAATATTAATGAGCATTGTACGGCGCAGCTGGGTAAAAGCCCACAGCTGTTGTTAAAAATATGATAGAGATAAAATTAAAATTTGAGACCACAAAAGTTAAAAAACCAACCGAACGGCGGGAAACTAATCCGAAAAAGGGCAAAAAAAGTGACAACCTATAAAAATTACACCAGAAAAACCGAAATTTTTGCAAAAAATTAGCGAATTAATAAAAATATGAAAGCCGACACCAGCTGAGCGAACGTGAACCAATCATCATGTTTATAGGCGACAATGGAAAGCAGAACCGCCCAATGTTCTGACATTTTTAGAGCACGTGTTGCTTTCTTTTTGGGCCAAGATGATATCTTGACCTCCCCTGATGCATACGTTATGGTTTCTTTTTAATCCAATTATTGTAAATCCTCATGTTCCAGGCAACTCCAAAATCTAAAATTTTTTCACTGTCTTTGTTGATCTTTTCACACCCATCTCCAATGTGCACCATTGCATTATTTTCCACCGTCCATTTATTCTCCCATTAAAACCACCATTTTTTCAGGTATCCCAGTCATCATTTCGTTTACCTCATCCCAAAATCTGTCTTTATCGTCCTCTGTCCACCGCTTTGCGGAGCATTTCCTGAATCCATTTTTAACAACCCCTCTCCATTTGATAGTTTCACCAACCACCTTATTTATCCAGTGTTCCCACTCCTGTTCCAGCTTCATCATTTCCTGACCGAAATAATTTATATTTTTTTTCTAGCCTTTTTATTAGTATGGTCTCGTGATTGGTCACCGAACGTTTTAAAATTCTATATAATTTTTCTTTTTTGTACGTATTCATACTAGGTAGGATTCTATATACTTGAATTTGCTGTCAAGTAAAGATCCTGTCTTTACTTCTACTAACTTTACCCAGGCTTGGGATTGGCATGTACGAAAAGAAAAATCATTATTTCTTTATAAGTGTCTTACTTCAATATTCCAACAACAGCATTCATATCGTTAAAGAGAATCTTATGAAGTTATCACAATATATATTTCGAAATGAACGAATTATAAAAGGGTGTTGAAGTTGAATGAAAAATATTTAACTCCGGGTTCCAACTCCCAGAAAAATTTTTTATTTTTTTTTGTTTCATAATTTATTAATAAAAAATACTTTAAAAAAATTTACAATCAGTCGATGTAATTGTTATTTAAGTAAAATTAATTTATATTTCGGTTTTAAAACATACTGAAAAAAATTAAATGATTTCATTTATATTATGAGCTTTTGCTACACATATTTATCTTCTAAAAAACATGACCTGAAAAAATTTTCAAAATAAAAATTGAAGAAAATTTAAAATACAGAAAATTTAAATTCATAAAATTTTTCCGGAAACGGAATCTAACCGCCTCCGACAATGATCTTTAACACTGATCCAAAGTTTTAAACATTTATCTTGAGTTTAATTATGTCCTGATATCAATCAAAAATTGATTCGATTAGTGCAAAATAATATTTTTTTATATTTCTTGTATTATATCTTTTTTTTTTTAATATTTCTTTTATTCTTTTGAGCAAAATAATATCATATTATGTCCAAAGAGGCATCGTAATTCATAAATTTTTGTTTGGCTATGATATAATTTCAGTAGTAAATGTTGCAAACAAACATAAAAACGTTATTTGTTTTCAGGGGAATTAAAGAATCTTTGTTCTAGAGAATTCGAAAATCAAAGTGGTGCCAATTTGTTGGAAGCAAATTTGTTTTCTGGAGCTATAATGCAAAAACTTCAAATGTTGCCTAATCTAAATGTAGCACAATTAGTTGGTTTAAGAGATGTCATCAACACAAATGTGGTTAACAAAATCAACGATCAAAATTTTTCCTGTTCAAATTCTGGAAATTTTGCTTTTCAAAATATAAATGCATTTAAACGAAGGAACTTTGAAGACGATGATGTGAAACTCTTGCCTCAAGAAAGATCTGACAGTGGTAGAATTGTATTAGCATCTAATATGGATGAAAAAGTAATTTATTCAATTACATTGGTTATAAGTTCATTATATAATTATATTCATTATTTAATCAAAAACTTTCAATTCTTGGAGCCTAATAGTAATAAACGTGGTTATTGTAAAATAGGCTAATTTGATGCTTAATTAATTGTTATTCATCATCTCCCTCAAAATACATGATGTCAAAAAACATCTCACCAAATTTTGTATTATTAGGTTGTATGTAAAGTAACCTTTGACTCTCGTAACTACCAAAACTAATGTTATAACTTCAATAATTTCTATATTTCTAACATCAGTGTTGTAGCTTCCAACGATCGTCAAGAGTTTATTTATCTCTTATTTATTTCCAATAAATGAACACACCTGCTTCAAAACGCAAACTTTGTTGAACGTTTATTTGAATACCAACAGTAATAGAAACAATAAACTAATCTAAGTAACTACATAAATCACATTTGCGACCTCGCTTTTTCTGCTGGAAACCTGACTGTAAACCTGACCTATATATAGTCTAGATTTTTGGCATAGCTTCAATATTTCTTTACAACTCTCTATCCACAGATTACAAATATAGCAAAGATAACAATAATCAAATAACAAATAATATAGCGCAGTTTGATCATTCCAGCTTTTTTGTAAGAGTGAAAAACCATTTTTCTACATTGAATAAATACTATATTAAATAATATATTGTTACAGACGTGAAGTCGAGATAAGAACTAGTAGTTAGAAATTGCGTGAAATGCTTGTAATGTAATTAGAAGGCGTAAATAATTAAAATGATTGTAAAACTTTTTCACACACAGGCCTAGCCTTTATCTATCGATCACCTCACTAAGTCATCATCTAGTCTATCAATTTGCCGTTACTTCATTTTATATTTTATCGTCAATTACTTTTTTTTATTTGTCTTATTATTATTTATTTTATTCTAACATATTTTATTTTTCATGTTTTATCATTTCTCTTCCTCACTTTTTGTATTTATTTTCTCACTTATTTGTTTAATTTTGTTTCACTGCCTTGCATGTTGTTACGGTTTCTGCGTCTGTCAGATCCTGATTTTTAAAGAATAATAAAAAATAAAAAAAAAAATCCATACGACACGGCATTTGACACATTTACAAGCAGTTCGGTAGCTATATAAAAAACACCAAAGCAAGATTCAAGAGAACAGGACGGACACACACGAGAGGAGAACAGGTAAGAAGAAGATGGGACAACAGTTGACGTAGAAGTCGTAAATGTAATTTACGTAGTTATTTGGATTAATTTTATTGTTTCTATTACTGTTGGTATTAAATAAACGTTTAACCTAGTTTGCATTTGAAGTAGTTGTGTTCATCTATCGAAATCTTGAACATACGGATAAACGAACTCTTGACTATCGTTGGAAGCTACAACACGGTGTTGGAGATATAGCGTGTATTGAAGCTATACCATCGGTGTTGGTAGTTACGAGGTCGAGGAGGTTACAACACTGGTGTTAGAGGTGGGATCTTTAGGAGATTACATACTGATTACACATCTTGATAGCTGGAAACTCACTGCAGTAAAGAATACCAGGACTAGAGAACTCAATGTAATTAGTCTGACAAGAGAAGCTTAAATATTGACGATTAGTTGTATTCTTCCGTGATTTGCCTTTCGATTAGTTCGATTTTAACGATTGAATAAACGATTGATTGATCACAGCAATACACACAAGTGATTGCCAGCACTGTTTCCTTTCTGATAAAGTTCATCTGAAATAAGTCTGTTCAGGCGTCAAGAATCCACGTAGAGAGAAATAACCATACCCTACAAGTTTAAGGGGTCGGTTATAACAACTGGCGTCAGACTTTCTGGCATAGTATAATTCCACGCTCATAAAAATTTTTGGTCTTTGTTGGCAATTTTTGGCCTTTTCATTTGAAAGAATGGTTTTACCTTCCAAAACATTTTCCAGTTACTGGAACAACTAATAATCACAGGGCGCCAGATCTGGAGAGTGTGATAGTTGTATCAATATATCCCATTCAAGATGCTAAAGCCTTTGGTGAATAACCAAACTCGTTGGAAGTCTCACATTATCTATGTGAAACCCATATATCGAGATTCGAGGTTAAATCCATAAATAGTTGAATTCGCTAAATTTAACCTCTCGTCGATCTCACGTGCTGTATTTAGCCGGTTTGCATCAACTTGTCTTTTTCGTGTCTTTATCAGCTTCAACCGGCCTTCCAGAGAGTGGAGCAACTTCAACATCAAAATTGCCGGATTGAAATTTAGCAAATCTAGCACTGGCGTTCTGTCAACACATCTTCCCCATGCACATCGGTTGATTTCTTTCTGGCTTGAACTGCATTTTTACATCTTTTAATACACAAAAGTAAACATAACGAAAATGTTGCTTATTGCTCTTCATATTTAAAAGGACACTAACTAAAAATTACTGCTTAGATTCAATTGAACATTTCCTCACACAACAAGCTTTGCTATATCAGCTCTCAAAACATGTAATGATTATGAGGTATAAATGTAAAGTTTGGTTTGTTAAAAATGAAACAACTTTTTGAATAACTTAATAGACGTTTTCAGGTTTTTGCTTTCTTCCTTAAAGTTACGTTTTGTTTTTGTTAATTTTTTGCCTTTTTTCGTTATCTCTCTTAACCAATATAATGTTTCTTAAAATTAAATTTTTTTTAATCTGATGTTATTTCATCCTATAAATATCATTTGCTTGTTTAACATACAGTTGCAGAGTAGATTTATTGTGATAAAACTTGTTTTTGCCTCGTGTTTTCTGTTTGATTGGCTACCTAATTTTTTAATTTTTTTATAACAATTTTTTATATCTGTCGTTTATTTTTAGCTTTGATTAAACCTAGGAATTTCTAATACGTGTTTCTATGCGAAATCTAAATTTTTATTTCCTGGTGCGCATCTGTAGAGTTCTGTATCTTCTTCTTTAATATTTTTTTTAAGTTAAAACGGTTCAATCTGTTGTAGTGTAATTCATTTTTTTTAATTGAAAGCAGTCCAGTTTTTTTTATAAGCGAAATTGTCTATTTTTAAAATGTTAAATGTACGAACACAAAATAACCTGCTAGCATTTGACTGAAGAGGACAGGTGGAGGTGAAATTTGAGAACTTCTGAAATATTTTCTTCAAAAATTTTACAAGTATGAATTGGAAAATAAAAAAAAACTTTGTTGTCGTAAAATTTGATTATCAAAGGGTAATTTGTTAAATTTAGGTGTTAAAGAGTCTGAATGACTGTTGATAACGTTTTTTAAAAAATGAATAATGCTTGAAAGAGTGCATAGAAATCTAGACATTTTAGATTGAAGGAGAGAGCTGTATATAAATAAAAAGTGTGGTGAAACACAAAATTGCAGTTAAAAACATTTGAAACCACAGACGTTTTAAATACAAAAATTAATAAATCTCTAAAAAGTGAATCTCACAAGTTTTTCAAGATCTCAAGATATTTGCTTTCCGTTTTCAGTCATTTTACTTTCTCATAAAGGATTTGTCTCATTATTTAACAATCAGCGATGTGCGTGTCGAAGATGCACTGACCTTGTTTCATTTTTATTGGGTGACTCCTATATTCTCCTTTACAGTTAATTACATTTACATATCATATAGTTATATACACCATCATTGTCATTATTGTTTAAAAGCTTAAGTATGAGCTTATTGTAAGTTTTTCCGAAATTGTCCTATTGTTAGACTTAGATTTATATTTGTTTCTTTTCAGTAATATAAACAGCATTTATTTTATTTTTATGTTTAAACTTTGTTTTCTGTATCCAGTTGTATTTAATACGACTCCTTTTTTGAGCTAATTAAACATTTTGAACGCTCATCGAATTTTCACATCAAAACATTTGTTTCCACCTTTAGGGATCAGTCATAATAGAGATCTAACTCTACCTACCACTAAAATGCTATTAAATTAGTCATTAATTAATTGTTTTTTATTTTAATAACTTTTATACGGAATTGAACAAATAACTTTCAAAATCTATTTTCATTGTAATGCTCAAACGTTGTTCTTTGTTGGAATAAATTCTTAATCATGTAAATGTAAAGTATTAATATACTTTTTTATATTTTATTTCCTTTGGATTCTGAAATTTAAAATTTCTGGCCTTTGAATCATTTCTTTCTCGACTTTTTTATTTTGGATCCCGTTTCGCTTTTAGAAGATTACACCTGAGGACATCTTTATTTTATTTGGTACGTCATTTTTTTCTTTTTTAATTGCATTTCATTACAAATTCTGTTATTTCATTATAAATAACATATTCTCAAATCTTTTGATTTGTTTTTTTAAATGTTTGTTACATTTTTATTCAAGTTCTTAGTGTGTTCACTATTTTATAAATAAAAAGTTGCAATTTGAAAATATAGAAACTACTCAGGGCTCATCAGGTTTTAATAGTTTTTGAGAGAAGTATGCATTTATATCCTTAACTGGTGACCTCAGTCTTTTAAGTTTATTTCAATCTATGCTTTCTGACGATTTTTTCGATTCCGCTCCATTCACCATTTCACTTTATACAGTGTACAGTACACACACTAATCCGAGCAATAAAAGGTTGAATTTTTTCTTCAAACGCATTACTATATTGAATAGTTTATTTTTTTATCTGTTATTAAACTGAATCCTTTTTAGTCTGCGAATGCTCTTTTCTTTATTTTTCATTGACTCATTATTCTTCACATGCTCAGTTTAATATTTTCTGTAAAATCTACATTTGAGCAAATTCTAAAAGAATTTTTTGACTAAATTAGACCTTTGTTTAAATTTTTATTTTTAACAGTAAATGAACATAAAAATGAAAAGAGTTATATTCTTATAAATACCAGCACTTGATTGATTGTCTTACACCTGGAATATTTCAGTACATAAATTTTAAGAAATAATAATTGTCGGGTGTGGAATGAGTTTTTTATATTTTTACCGTTTTAAGCGCAGATGCGAAATGTTTGAAGGAAATGCAACCGTTCCATGAAAATAGATGATAGGACAGAACACAAACAAATTTTGAGTCTTTTTGTACGTTGTTTAGTGGCGAGTTTGCAGCAGGAATGACGAGAGTCTTAAGTGTTAAAGGATGATTTGTTGATGTTAAAAATGCGAGATAAAGTCTGTGAGAAAAAAGACGAGAATCATTGTTAGCTGTGCATTGGGAAAAATTACTTTTTCAGCCGTTAATAAATAAGTTTTAATGTTCTTCTTTAATATAGTTGAAAATTATAAGAGTTATTTTTTGGAATGGAAAAGCAACTAAGTTGATTAATTGCTGAATAATTGATTGTTTATTTATTTATTCATTCATTCAAACAACTAAATAAATAAATAGCAATGGGAAAATAATAAAAAAAAACAAGATATAATTGACTATTTAGATATTTTAGGTGTCTTGGAATGAAGGCTTTATCTTGATATTTGTATACCCTCTTTGCAATTTTGTTTTATTGTGAAATACCACAGGCTTTTAATGTTAAGTGCTTAAGTTTTAGAAGAAAAGAACTTTTCTTGAGAATGATATTTTATCCATAAATGTTTCATACCTTTTAAAGATACAACAATTAATTTTGTTAACTTGTATTTTACTCATCTCTATTTTGACAAATATAATTTAATTTTTAAGGTGTTTATGGCAATGTGGTAAAGGTCAAAATACTTTACAACAATAAGGATTCTGCTTTGGTTGAATTTGAGGAGGATTATCAAGCTAGAGATGGTTTGTTGCATTTATTAATACTCCATGATTCATTACATTATTTAATCTTTTTTTAATCATTGTTGTTCCATGGCTCATTACATTTTTACTGTTATTTAATTGGTTTATTACATTATTTGATTGTTGTTTAATCAACCATTGTTGTTTCTTTTATTATAACTTTTAGCTATTCAGAATTTAAAAGGCATATCATGGAATGGTAAAACATTGAATGTGGTTTCTTCGAAATACTGCAGCATAAAAATGCCAAATAAAGGATGTGAAGTTGTATTTAAAATTTGTATAATCAATTTGCTTTCTAATATTTATAAAACATATGTCTTTTAGGAACCTTGGCTTACAAAAGATTTTACTGGATCAAAGTTACACCGTTTCAGACAGTTGAACTCTAAAAATCATCGCCATATATTCCCGCCGTCATCCACTCTTCATCTTTCGAACATTCCGTCAGTTTGATGTTCAAATAATTTTTTTAGCTTTTTTTTTTACCTCATTTTACATTTTCGCAGTGAATCAGCTAGTGAAGAGACTCTTATAGAGCTTTTTAGAGAATATGGAAAAGTGTTATCGTTTAAATTTTCAAAGTAAGTCTCACGTTCCCCTGATTTTTTTGTTATTGCTCGTTGCCAATAATTAATTATTTATTGTGGCCCTCTGGTCAGTTGTGATAAATAAATTAATAAATAAATAAAATTATATTTCTTCACGGACGTAAACATCTATTTTCCAGCGAGGGTTGCGCGTTTCATGAAATAATATTTTTGCATTCCAATTGTTAAATTCGAACAACTTTGAATAGTTTTTTACATTTTTAACATGTCAAAAAACGATTATAACTTTAGAACCAGAACGAAAGATAATAAAAATGACAGAACTATTGGATAAAAAATTGTGTAAGAAAAACGCAAGACTAGTCTGAGACAAAACACCAACAATAAAGATGAACAAGGAAAAATATTATGAAATTAAAAAACATGTCGACAAAATAAAAGCACTTTGCACACACAGAGAATTGTAAAACTATGAAATATCCCTATACAAGCGCTGATGATGAGTAAAATCGAAATAGGACCTATACGCTTCATCATGAACACCAACGACTTTCTTATTAATATTATGAAATTAAAAAACATGTCGACAAAATAAAAGCACTTTGCACACACAGAGAATTGTAAAACTATGAAATATCCCTATACAAGCGCTGATGATGAGTAAAATCGAAATAGGACCTATACGCTTCATCATGAACACCAACGACTTTCTTATTAATATTATGAAATTAAAAAACATGTCGACAAAATAAAAGCACTTTGCACACACAGAGAATTGTAAAACTATGAAATATCCCTATACAAGCGCTGATGATGAGTAAAATCGAAATAGGACCTATACGCTTCATCATGAACACCAACGACTTTCTTATTAATTTTAATGAATTGGATAAGTTATAAAATTACTGTTAGAAATCTTGAAAAGCTCAACCGTAAACTTTCATAAGCTAAAAATTCGGTAAATTTCATCAAAAATTACATGCATATCAAATATTACTTGCATGCATATATATATATATATATATATATATATATATATATATATATATATATATATAATATTGGATTAAGATTGTCAGAAATACAATTATTGATAAAAATCACAGCATGTTCGGCGTTAGTTAACTTCCAATTTAACTTTTTGATTCTTCTAACTGTTGACCGTAAATAATTTTCAAGTTTCTTTAGTTCAAAAACAAAATTTTTGTTTATTTTATGCATGATAGAACAGAAAAGCTTTTTTCGGTATTTCTATACCATCTTCGGACTTAATCAAATTAGAAAGTCAAAAAGTTATAACTCTCAACACTAACATTGTTAACGACCTAAAAGCTGAAAGCAAAAAGTTGAGAAATAATTTTAAAAGCAAGAGCAAGATTCTAACAAAAGAATTGATCGATGCTGCAGCAACCTTAAAAAATAACAATAACATTATCATCCGAAAAGATGACAAAACCCCAATGTATGTCCTCCTGAACAAACTTATTTCAGATGAACTTTATCAGAAAGGAAACAGTGCTGGCAATCACTTGTGTGTATTGCTGTGATCAATCAATCGTTAAAATCGTTAAAATACAGCACAATAACTTATCAACAGGTAAATCACGGAATACAACTAATCGTCAATAATTAAGCTTCTCTTGTCAGGCTAATTACATTGAGTTCTCTAGATCTGGTATTCTTTACTGCGGTGAGCTTCCAGCTATCAAAATCTTACTTCTGCCACCACTGTGTAATCTCCTGAAGATCCCACTTCTAACACCAGTGTTGTAACCTCATCGACCTCGTAACTACCAACACCGATATAGCTTCAATACTCGCTATATCTCCAACACCGTGTTGTAGCTTCCAACGATAGTCAAGAGTTCGTTTATCCGTATGTTCAAGATTTCCGATAGATGAACACAACTACTTTAAACGTAAACTAAGTAGAACGTTTATTTAATACCAGCGGTAATAGAAACAATAAATTAATCCAATTAACAAAGCGTATCGGTTTGGTTATTTCTTCTATCACCGTGATGAAGAGCAGGGGGCTGAGTATTGGTCCCTGATGGACGCCGACGTTAACATCAAATTCATTCGTGTTACCGGCTGTAGTGCTGACCAGAGTTTTTGTGTACGTTGCCTTAACCAGCCGAACCAAATATTCAGGAACAAGCTGTCTACGTAGACTCCACCTGATTGCCTCACAAGGCACTCTGTCAAAAGCCTTTTCCAAGTCCACAAAGACATGGAACAGTCGCTTTTGCTTTGCCAAGTTTTTTTCCTGTAGTTGACGAATGATATAGATAGCATCAATGTTGGATCTTCCTGTCACGAAGCCGTCTGGTAACCACCTATTGAAACGCACGACAACAGTCTTCTTTCAATGACTTTTTCAATAACTTTTAAGGGATGTTCCAGAAGACGTATACCCCGATATGAAGAGCATTTCAGTGGGTCTCCTTTTTCTTTTTATGTCGGCACAGCTGTGCTACTGTTCCATTCCACTGGGAGTATCGATTTACTCCACATCTCCCAACAGATGTGTAAGAGGGCTCTGAAGCCTGCTCCACCAGATGTCTTTATGATATCATTTGTAAGTCCAGACGGACCAGCCGCTTTACCCACCTTAATTGCCTTCAACGCATCCTTAAGCTCCTCAGCTGGCATGCCCCGAATCAGTCCTTTCACCGGAAGTGCATCAAAGTCCACACCAATAGGGTTTGTTTCATTCAATAACCGATCGAAGTAATCCTTCCAGTGATCCTTCACTTCATTCTGTGAATAGTTATATCTTCTTCCAACAAAGACTTGTTTATTTGAAAACCAGTAGTAAAAGCCGATGAATTATTAACTAATCCCAGAAATACGTCCGATCGCCATTAAAATTCACAGCGCAACTCCACAATCAAACAATCTTCTTCCTTAATGATATCTCGTGCTCTGCTTGTATATATGTACATAGTTCGATTGCGAGTTACGAAGATATTTTATTACAACAAACCCGAGATGATACCAATCAATTGCAATTAATTATAGCTCAATTCGACTATTCCAGTGGATGTAACAATGTTTGCCATCGCTACACAATATTTACACAGTATCTTATATAATTTATTTCCTGTTTAATTTTTATATAACATTTAATTCAATATTTGATTTTAGCGCTGACACCAAGATTGCTTGGATAAAGTTGGATTCTGTGGAATCTGCAGTACAAGCATTAATAGTATGTCTTGTCTTAATTTTAAAGTTTTTAACTATTTATTAATTACTTCAAATATTTATTTACAGAAATTGCATGATTACAAGCTTTCCGATAACAACAACTTGAGGGTTTCCTTTACCGGCCACAATTTGTAAAAAATTTTTGCGCTTATGTTCCTTTCTTTTTATATGTTTAGAAGTAATGATATTTATTAGAGGGTTTTAAATTTGACCTGGCGTGTCATGTTGTTTCATTAGGCAGACATTATGGTTTTACTTCATGGAATGCTGTTTTATTTTTTGCTATATTCATTTCTAAACGTATTTATCTGCTATTTTTCAAGTTTCAATTTATATTTTTTAATAAAAGTCTGTGTAAGTCTGTGTTAGTTATTTTTAAATTTAAAAAATCTTGCTGCACACTGATTTTCAGTTTAAGATCAAAATTCGTTCGACTAAGATTCCTTAATTGTAAATTTTCCAACTTCCAAAAACATTCAACTTTGGCATTACAACTTTTAAAAAATTACTGGCTTAAAATAAGATAATAGTTACTTTACATTTTAAATTGACTGGCATACTATCTTTTTCTCGGCATAATTACTCTACGTGTATGTTTTAAATAATCGCACAAGTTTTTGTTATATACGTATGTTTCAATGCCTATTTGCTTCCATGTGTTTGTTATGTTGTTTGTATAGGAGGGTATTTACAGAAATCGATAAAGAGATATAAATTCAATTTTATTAAAATATATGTGAATTGTATGCCGGGGGAGGCCTGGCAAAACCGACGATCTCAAATCAGCGTGGCTATATGTACATGGAACCGTATATTTAAAATACATACACTGACCATCGAACGCACCCGTGCACTTTTTCAGTGCGCTTTATAGTCTGGCCTCATTCTCTAGCTTCCATGAGCAACTATTATTAAAATTTTACATTTTTATAGTTTATTAATAAATATTTATTTATTTTTTAAGGATTATATTCATTTGATTATTTTTTGATTTATTTCATACATTTGCATAATAATTCAGCACATTAGTATCTTTTTTTGTTCTCACATAGCCTCCCTGTATGAAACAATCACCATACTTTGCTTGCACCACCTGTTATAACAGGAATTATTATTTAATTTAATATTCTTTTTAATTTATTTATACAATAATTATTATGCTAGTTACCTTGAAATAGCTGTGTTCAATTTTTTATTTTTTCAAATTGTGACAATTGTGAAATTCTTTCTCTATCGTTGTAAACTATACCCGACTTTTTCTCCCGATCGTTTCTATCAATAACAAAAAATTCGGCTTCCATCAGCAAACAAGCCATTGTTCTACAATCTGTTCCATCGTTACCAACTAGAGCATCAATATGTGACAGTAGTTTTGCTATATAAATTCTGCGGTTATTTTGGACGCTGGCAGGACTGGCAAAATGTACAGCGCGATGAACAAAAAAGCAGTTGACAATGTATAGGTTGTTTAAGACCACCGCGGTCTAGTTCTTTTATGAACGTAGATGACCAGGCTTGGACTGAACCGCCGGGACATTCCCGGCTGCTGCCAATTGCCAAAAGAAAATGATATAATGAATTCTAATAAAAAATTTTTGACAACCAGTTAGTATTGACCCCTAACCCCAAAAATATTGACAAACGTTATTAATTGCTCAGCGGCAAATATCGTCGACATTATATTGATGATGCCTCGTTCTTAGCGTTTCTTTAAACAAGTGCGACCTTTGATTGTGTATATCATATATTCAATTGAAATGATTTCGCTTGAGCTTTGGGGTTACAGGTGTTGCTCATTCATGATCCCATTCTTATCTGAATGAAAAATTGCCACAGGTCTAGCTTAATGATAAATTCAGGGAGGCCATTACGCCTGGTGAACCATACGGGTCCCATATCTCCTACATAATCATTACTGGCTAACAGGTGAGACAAGTCAAAGCTTCAATTATATCGGAAGTCTGATTACCTCAGGTTGTAAATGCGATGTGGATATCAAACGAAGGATAGCTATGGCAAAAGATGCCTATTCTAAAACGAAAAATATCCTCATCATCAGTAAAATCAAAATATCAACAAAATTAAAACTGAATGTAACATTTTTCCTGTTCTCACTTACAGCTCTAAGTCCTAGACAATTTTTTTAAATAATGAAAAAAGGATTATGCTGCTGAGATGTGGTTTTTGAGAAAAATTATGAAAATTGTTTGGACCTCTTTTACTTCCTATGATGATGTATTGAAACAGTCCGGTTATGAAAAGAGGAAATTACTAAAAATAATCCGAAGGGGCAAGTTAAAGTTTTTTAGTCACATCGCGGAAGGAAGGCAGGAATGATGAAATCTAACAACTGCTGAAAAGATTGCACCATCAGTAAAATCGAAATATCAATAAAATTAAAACTGTTAGAATGTTGCATTTTTCCTGTTTTCACTTACGGCTCTAAGTCCTAGACAATTTAAAAAATATGAAAAAAGGATTAATGCTGCTGAGATGTGATTTTTGGGAAAAATTATGAAAATTGGTTGAACCTCTTATACTTCCTGTGATGATGTATTGAAACAGTCCGGTTATGAAAAGAGGAAATTACTAAAAATAATCCGAAGGGGCAAGTTAAAGTTTTTAATTCACATCAGGCGGAAGGAAGGCAGGAATGAAAAATCTAATAACTGCTGAAAAGATTGCAGGGAGACGAAATCGCAGCCAACGACAATTTACATTCGTGAAGTCCTTGTGTCGCTTGTTGAATATCACCCCATTTCAACCACTAAAAAGTGTTAAAGACCGGATTTTTTGGAGGTCAATGGTCGCCAATGTCCTGAAAAGATAAGGCGCGAGAAAGAACCATACGGGTCAGTTTTGAAACCGACAGTTTCTTTTAGATACATTTGACGTACTGGAAATGTTAGATAAATCTTGGGTTTTTGGGCATCGTTTTGCTGATGACATCCAAATGATTGTCAGCTGCCCAGAATATTAATTTCATTATGCTGTAAATAAATTAGTTACAATGTCTTACCAAGGTGAGTCAATCAATATTAAACAAACCTTCAGGAGTTAAATATCTGTCATCATTTGAAAACATGTCCAAACAATTGAGCAAATAAAGGAATACAAAATTTCATCTTTCGTCTTGTCAGTGCGCTAGCACAAGCTGCAAGTAAGAAATAAACACTAAATTAGAACTGCCGCAAAGCGTGCTAGTGAAACCGCAGAACAATAAGAACTAAGGCCTATTCAGTATCCTTTAAACGTGAAAGATGCTTCAAAATTCAAACACATGAATAACAAGATCAGCAACAAACGAAACGACGCGACAATGAAACTGCTCGTAAACGTCATATAGAAGAGTGCGCGATCACGAGCGTGCTGATAAAATGGCAGAACAAATTCTATTTGAATCTCGTCTCGTCAATGAACAACGAGTTGAAGCAAAAAAGGGATATAACTCTCCAACTACAAAGATTTTTAAAAGCTGCATTATAAATATGCAAATGAAAATTATGCAGTTTTTGTTGTATCAAATATTGCTAATATGACGAAAAGCTGCAAAACTATGGCTTGGCAAAATGAGTCCGCTTGAGTATGCTATAGCAATGGGAAAATTTTAATCCCAACGCTTAGTTTCATGCGAAATCGGGAACACTTGTTTGGCAATTCTAAAATAACGAAATTTTTTCCAACAAAATGCTCAACTATCCAACTCGTTGTTTCGAATGACACGCATTGGAATCGATCAAATTAATAACGGTGAAAAATTCAATGAGGGTGAGCGATATAAGGATACATATCCCGTAGCATCGAATTTTGAAATAACAGCTATAGACATGGCATTAACCTCCAAATATAATTCAACAAGAAAAACTATAAGATTTTCACTAATTCGCTATCAACTCTTATAGCATTAAAACAATGCAAACCTCGACATCAGTTAATTCTTCAGATGCAAAACAAAATACACGACATACTAAGTAATAAAAATAATATTACATTAATCTGGATCCCTAGCCACACTGGAATCGAAAAAGTGGATCAATTGGCATCACAAACTCACTCAGATCTTCCATCTAATATTCCAATACCATATCATGACATAAGAGTGATGAAAAACGACCTTGTATCTGATAAATGGCAAAAGGAATGGAACAAGATAAAAAAATTTCCTCAAAATAGTAATGCCAGAATTAAATAAATCCAAAAACATGAAAATCAACGAGCTAAGTCGAAATATTTTAAACATCATAAACAGACTAAAAATCGGCAATTCCTAATTAACCCATTCATGGATTCCAAACAAAACAAGCCCTCCACTTTGTAAGAACTGTGATGCAAAACTAACAATGTCAAACATACAATGAATCCAGAAATAAACATCAAATACCAGAAGATATCCATTCAATTTTTAAAGATGAAAATATAAAAAACCTAATACAATTTATCAAAGAAATAAACATTTTTAACAAAATTTAATTTCCCCACTGTTCAAAAGTGATTTGCAAAAGAAAAAAAGAAATGAAAAAAGAAAGGAAAAGAAAAAAAGAGAAAAAATAAAATCAACAGGAACCAAAGGCGTAAAGATAGCCTATCAGAGCTGAAGCGCCGTAAAACTGAAGAAAAAATTCAATGCTGTTCGAATAATGAAAAATTTGACAAAATTCACTAGACTTGCCTGTAACGCTTCAGCACAATACTCAACTGGTAGTTTTTTTCTAAAAAATCCAAACGCTACGAGACTGCAACGATTAAAAAACTTAGTGTGACCGGTCTTAAGCCAAGTTTGATCAGAGCAATTTATTGATTTCACCGCAAGCAAGTCGGGTTGAATAAATTAATCATTACTTTTGACATAACATAGTTATTAACACTTTTTGGACTCATTAATAATTATAAAGTTAATAAGACCAAGAATGTTCTCGAGTTGCAGTACGATTTGAATGCTTAACAAGATGCAGGTTATTCATCCGTATACAGTTTAGCATTTCAGGGTTGAAGTAAATTTAAAAGGGCGCTTCTCATTAGCATTTTCTCTATCGTTGACATCTACATAAGTTTTTCACCAAGACATGAAATGAGCCGTTTGTATAAATTCAAATTATAAAATTTGGCCGTTTTATTTCATGTAAAATTTCTTTTGCGGTCTAAGAGATAAAGTTTACGCTTTATTTTTATAACTAGTCTATCTGTCACGAGTTGTAGAAATATCGTAAGATAGGAAATCCAAGAAAACTCGTTATTAGAAAAATCAGTTAGCAATTAGTTATGTAAAATATAAAGAAATCGAGAACGTCATTTTGTTTTGCTTACGTCAGAAGAGATGAAAAATGACTTCCGGGCTGCGTTCTCTGACACCATCTCAACAATACCAAAATCTGAAACAATCCTGATTGGAAGCGATCTCAATGGCCACGTTGGAGAGAAAACAGATGGTTTTGACAACGTACATGACGGTTTTGGCTATGGAGAACGGAATGAAGATGGAAACCGCATCCTTGAGTTTGCTGAAAGTCACGGGTTTTGTTTACTGAACACATATTTTAGAAAGAGGTTGGAACATTTCATAACATACAAAAGTGGACCATCAGCCACGCAAATTGATTTCTTCGCTGTCAAGCAACACCATCGAAGGTCCGATTTCAGACATCACTGTAGAAGAGCTTACAGAAGTTCTGAAAGCTTTGAAAGATGGAAAGGCAGCAGGGCCCTCTGGACTTACAAATGACATTATCAAAGACTACAACTTTGCCGTGAAGTGTGGAGAAATTGCTTAATTTCGACTGAATGGAACTATAGGATGACAGTTTAGCTATACAAAGGCAAAGGTGATCCATTGAACTGTTCATCATATCGGGGTATACGTCTGTTAGAACACTCACTGAAAATTGTCGAGAAAATCATTGAGTGAAGATTAACGTCGTGCATCACAATCGTAAATTATCAATTTGGTTTTCTAGCGGGGAAATCAACAATTGATGCAATTCACATCCTTCGGCAACTGCAAGAGAAGTACCTCGCAAAGCATCAACAACTATCACACATTTTTGTAGACCTTGAAAAAGCATTTGATCGAGTTCCCCGAGAAGCAATCAGGTGGAGTCTACGTCGACAACTCATTCCAGAATATCTTTTTCGATTTGTGATGAAAATGTATACGAATACTAAGACTATCGTCAGCACAACGGTTGGAAACACAGTTGCATTTGACATCGGCGTTGGAGTTCACCTAGGCTCGATTCTCAGTCCACTTTTATTTATAACTGTGATGGAAGAAATCACAAAACCGATACGCACTGGTGACATTTAGAATCTAAAATATGCAGATGATATCGTTTTAACAGCCACGTTTGAGCAGAACGCAGCACAGATGTTTGAAGCTTGGAACATTAGACTCGCCGATCATGGATTCAAAGTCAACATCAGCAAAACCAAAGCAATGAACACTGGTGAACACATCCAATCCACAGCTACTGGACGATGGCCCTGTTCAGTTTGTAAAGCTGGTGTAGGTAACAATTCAATCAAGTGTCAGCAATGTAACCAGTGGTGTCACAAAAGTTGTTCAAAAATAATTGGTACTTTATCTAAAGTGTCCAATTTTGTTTGTCCTGTTTGCATCAATCCACAACAACAAATTCGAAATAGCACTGTTTTTTGAAGCCATTAAGGTAGAGAGTCACATCTTTTCAATACCTAGGGGATGTTCTGGATTGTACTGGAACAGCTGAAGCTGCCGTTCGAGCACGCATACGTGCAGCCTGTAATATATGGCATCGAATTAGTCTGAAGGACCACATCAAATCTACCGAAATCCTGCGTCGTGCTGGTTTAGATGATATAAAGGACGAATGCCGGCAACACCGTCTGCAGTAGTTTGGTCATGTCAAACAAAGTGGAAACGGTGCCATAACTTCTCTTGCAGATGTTGTAGTACCTGACACACGTCCCAAAAGCCGTCCAAAGAAGTCCTGGTCGCAAACAATCGAGCTAGACATGAAAGTTCTAAATTTAGATACAACTGATCGTCTAATTTGGCGTAAAAAGTTGATGGCAAAGAAAACAACGTCCTACCTCGGGAAACTGGGTCTCTGGACGCTAAACGAAGATTGATTATATTGCTCAAATAATATAGTAAGGGGCCCAAATAAATAAACATAAAACCAATGGTATGTATGATTATTCACCTTTTACACTGTATCGTATATATTTTCATAAACCATTTCCTACTGTACATAACTAACCAAATTTTCATGTCAATAGGGTGAAACATGAAAGTGTAATTTATAAAAGTCATACTCTCACACACACGCACGCATACACATTTTTTGACAATCGTTATTATTAATAAAATATTCCAACGTTAATTAGTGGCGAACACCAGAAATATAATTTTGTGGAAATTCGTTGCTCTGAGAAATCGTATTGAAAGTAGTAGGTACTTGTAATTAAACTTTGACTTTTCATTGTGGAGGAAAAAAAACAATAAACATCTTCACTTAAAAAATTGTAATGCTCATAAATAATATCAATAAACAACGAAATAAACACACGCACACGCATACTAACAAATATATTAAACGCAATATAGAGAATGAATTCTTTAGTCTATATCTTAAACAAGTAGTTCAAATTTTTGCAAAAAACATTTAAAATTGATGGTCATCACAGTAA